TGGTATGCTGCGATAGCAAGTAAGATCCGAATGGATTTAATCATGACAACTGGAGAAAAAGTTTCGTCATAGTCGATACCATGTATTTGACGATATCCTTTTGCTACCAATCGTGCCTTGAAGGTTTGCACCTTACCATCCATGTCAGTCTTCTTTTTGAAGACCCATTTGCACCCAATGGGTTTGATCCCTTCGGGTGCATCAACCAAAGTCCATACTTGGTTGGTGTACATGGAATCCATTTCGGACTGCATGGCTTGACGCCATTCCTCAGCCTCGGGACAACTGATTGCCTCGAGGTAGGTCTCCGGCTCATCCTGGTCGATAAGCATTACGTCACCCTCAAAGGTTAGGAGGAATCCATACCTTTCAGGTTGTGTGCGTAACCGGTTAGACCTACGGGGTTCTTGTGTATCTTGAGCATTTTGAGGTACAACGGTTTGTTCCTCTAGCTCATGTTCCAGAACCGGCGCGGTAGTTTCTTCGTCGTCTCGAATTTCTTCGAGCTCTATCTTTCTCCCACTAGTTGCGATGGAGAGAAATTCCTTCTCGAGGAAGACACCATTGCGAGCAACGAATACCTTCTTATCGATAGGGTGATAGAATGAATACCCTCGAGTTTCCTTTGGGTATCCCACGAAAAAACACTTATCAGACTTGGCGTCAAGCTTGCCATTCGTCATAAGACGTTTGACATAAGCCTCACAGCCCCAAATCTTTAAGTGTGACAGAACCGGGCATTTGCCCGTCCATAGCTGGTATGGTGTTCCTTCAACCGCCTTGGTTGGAACTCGGTTAAGAGTATATATTGCAGTGCTCAGCGCATACCCCTATAATGATTCTGGTAGAGTCGAATGACCCATCATAGAACGAACCATGTCAAGCAGGGTTCGATTCCTCCTTTCAGAGACACCATTCCATTGTGGAGTCCTAGGAGGTGTGAGTTGGGATAAAATCCCATGCTCTCTAAGATAGTCATCGAACTCACCACTTAAGTATTCTCCACCTCGATCGGATCGTAGTGTTTTAATACTTTTGCCAAGTTGTTTTTCAACTTCATTCATGAATTCTTTGAACATTTCAAAGGATTCTGACTTGTGTTTCATGAGATACACATAGCCATATCTACTGAGGTCATCAGTAAAAGTGATGAAGTATGAATAACCACCTCGTGCAGTTGTATTGAAAGGCCCGCACACATCACTATGAATGAGTGCCAGAAGATCACCAGCTCTTTCACCGTGTCCGGTGAAAGGAGATTTGGTCATCTTACCCAATAAACAAGATTCGCATGTGTCATATGATTCAAGATCAAATGACTCCAGCATTCCCGACCGATGTAGCTTGGATATGCGTTTCTCGTTTATATGGCCTAACCTACAATGCCATAGGTATGTTTGGTTCAAACCGTTCGGTTTGTTCCTCTTGGCTGATATGTTATAGACAGGCATGTCCAAGTCAAGGACATATAACCCATTGGTCATGTTGGCATTAGCATAGAAAACATTCTTTCTGTAAACGGAAAGGGACTTGTCTTTAATAGAAATGATGAAACCACTCTTATCAAGACATGAAACAGAAATAATGTTTCTGCTAATTGCAGGAACGTACAAGCAATCGTTTAATTCCAACATTAGACCACTAGGCAAGACTAAACTATAAGTTCCGATTGCCAAAGCTGCAACAGGTGCACCATTGCCGACTCGGAGTTCAATCTCGCCTCGAGCTAACCGTCTACTCTGCTTCAGTCCCTGCATGGTAGTACAGATATGAGACCCACATCCAGTATCTAGTACCCATGATGAAGATATAGACATGTTAACTTCTATAACATACACCTCAGAAGAAATGGTCGTACCTTCCT